GCTACCTCGATTCGTATTCAAAAAATACTAACAATGCCTTTGAGGTGCATTTCTTTGCAATTTATTTTGTACGTGTAGACGCTAAGATGACCTTCTTTGGTAAAATGAATTATCATTTTATATTTTTCGCGTGTTCAAACATCAAATCGAACTTTCACCGGCGATTCTTCTGAATTGGCCTTTACGCGGTTTCTTTAATTCGAACGTTAATTGTTAATTATCGCGCGAAAAACACAATATTCCGCGGTAGCTCGTCCGAAGATGTCGCTAGAAAATTCAAGAGGCGTACGGGAATAAATAATGCAAAGAAATACATCTTCAGATGCCAGCCGAACTGACAATGAACTACCGGCATAAAATATTCATAAGTCATGGTTTCTAACTAGTAATGTTTAATGTATCTTCCTCGTATAGTCTTCGAGATATAGGTATGAATTTTCTTAACAATTATAGAGGAGTTTGTACGTAAGCCCTCTTACTATTATATTGCATCGGCCCGCGGCGATTTGGGCATTACATTACAGTAGTTTTATGTGTAAATTTGACATTAAGTTTATTTCGATATTTCGAGTAGTAAATTTTTTTTGGTAAAAGGATTACTGTTAGAACACCTGGCGATCGTGTTCTAGTGAAATACCGCGTAAATCATTCGATACAGTCCGCTCCTGCGGTGTCATGTCAAAGGGTATTTATCTGCGATAATAAAAGGCGCGGTACGACAATGCGCGACGCCCAGTACATTGCGAAATTTCGTATCAAGTAAGTACCCACTTACTATAGCGAATACTATTAGGAAAAATAATAAGATGTATTTTTTTCGTAACACTGGTCAAGTTTTCAATGTTACCAACTGTTTTAACCAGTTTTTGAAAATATCGATTTTTGCTCATGGTAAATGTAAACATTTTCACGGAATACCTACTATATTCCAGGCCAGGAAAGTCTATAAATATTTCATCGATCTGGGGACTGTAAAAGCGAAGTGTCGTTACTACCGACGTTTTTCGATTTGCTGCGGACATTATTGTTCTCTTGTCACATGATCCCTGCATTGATTAATTGATTGTGGAATAGGCCGAGTATTGTCTAATAATAATTTTCTAGGAAACAATAGTGTCACGGTACGATACGAAAGTTTAATGTATTGTTTATTATTTTAAGCTCTGTCGCAAGAATTTGCTCGTTTTAGAGCGATTACCAATCGAACCAAATCTGGCACGTCGATAATTTAAAGTCGTAGCTAAAATAATGTACTCTACTGTCGCATTTAATAACCAACAACTTATTTGCATTATTGCGTAGTATCTACAGTTAATTAAAATATAATAGTAAATAATTTCTCAAAAAAATTGCTTTTACCGCCATCTGTTCTATCGATTCGGAAGCAGCAGTTTTCACTCCGCTACATCGAGCATGTTGTTTTATAGAATACATTACTGCGGAACTTTCACCGTAGAAGTTCGAAAGTAGTAATGTGGAAAGCGTGCTGCAGATAGCACTGGCCGATGAAAAACGGCGGAATTTTCTTCGGGGGAAAATCGAACAATTTTACCGCTCGCCGGGCAATTAACACACAAACACTCTTTTTTTACCAGCGGATTCGAATTTGACCACCTGCATCAATTTCTCTGGTAATGAGAAAATAGGTAGGCCGTTAAAAAACGATAAATAATTAGCGATGAAAAAACTTGGGCGGTAATAAATGATGGAAAAAAAATAATAAGCATTTCAAAGGTTTGGATTTTCAGTTAACTCATGCATATGAATATTTTCGTCGGTTCGTATTTGTTGCAGAGTTACATAATTCGCCTTGAAATCCGCATTAATTGCGTAGGTGTATTTTTAGATAAAGGAAACAATAGATAATGACGATGCAATTTGATAAAAATAGAGATTGAAACGAATAAAGGTGAGGATTTTAACCGTTTCTATCACTATGATTATTGCACTAAATTAGTTAGTTCTTCAGATAAAATATGCTAAATAATCGTCCTAAAATCGTTCTGGACTTTTCTAAATAGTTTATCTTGGACCGTTTCAATTAGTCTTGAAACTGTTCTAAACGATTTTGGATGGTTCTAAGATCCTCCAGAACTGTTTCAAATCGTTCTAAATTGGTCCTGAATAATTCTAGACAGGCCAAATGAATCTAAAACTGTCCAGAACAATTTGATAACAAAGGCCAGTACAATTCTTCAGTTACAGTAGGTACTATCTCTCTTCATTTCGAGCGATATTATGTACAAATATACACTCTCTTTCTCTCACATCGCAGTAGACCGACCCTGTATAGTAACAAACAGTCGGTGGTGTTATTGCCCTTATCAGCTTCTTTTTATGGCTCGTCCTGTTCCCCTCGCGGTTATTTCGCGTGTACACACACGGACAAACGACAACAGCTCATTTATTTTATCATAATTTTTTGTGTGAGGAATAAAAACGACATTAACCTATGGGGTCTTGAGAGCGCGAGGTGCGGCTTTATAGAATTACCAACGTTCTAGGAACCATTCTAGGGCTCCTACACAGTGGCGGTACTTTTAATAACAAAATAAAGGAGCGGTAAATATATCGCTTATAGTGCGTTCGCGTTAACCTAGCGATGACTTCACGACTGTTCAAATTGTTACTTTTGCCGGGATAAGCTTATAAATATTTTTTTATTTGTAAACCAAAAGTGTGAGACCTTCTAAGTTAATAGACAATTTCATCGTTGCGAATAGCGTGAAGGACGTTAAAACGTTGGAGTTTTGTTTGTATAGCGCAAAACTAGCAAACAATAGTCTCGAAATTAGCAACGACAGATAACTGTATTCGTAATAAAGTGGTATCACGACCACGACGAAAATTATTTTAATCTTAATTCGCCATCTGATAGCGCTTAAGATGAGCATCGGAGATTCTTAAAATACCGTTTGCGCTAATTGAACGAGCGAGTAGGTTGGATTACATGCGTTTTAAAGAGGTGTCGAAATCGGATATTAAGTAATCGAAGAACGTATACTGGTAGGATTTTCCGATTCGCGAGGAGCGCCTAAATTACCTTATTAAATATTGAATATTGCAAATTGATATCGGTCGAGTAACATTGATATACAATAATTTCCATTTCACTTTCGTACGGGCACACACTAGCTTCCGTTTTCTATTTATTTATTTTGCGCAATAATGCAGGGAATAATTACGGTAATATCGTTACGTGTGAAGCGAATTAATTTCGTATAAAGACAAAAAATCGTTTCGTATTACCGCAAACTTTCATTATCAACGTTTCCCACGTTACTGGCGGATTAATTTCTGTTTGTAAAGTTGTTACTTCCTAAATGAAAATTCCTTATGTGAACATTCAGTTCCCCTTAGAACATATTGTTTGAAGCAATGTCGAAATCATAGGGGAAACAGGGATTTATTCAGGTTAAATTGCCTGCCTGTTGAATCTAGTTACTTAGTGGCAGCACTGATTATTTTACCCATTTTCTTCCAGTAATGGCGTGTTATTAAATAAAAAGAAAAACTGAAAGTCTAATCTCGACATGCCCAATTTAAGCGTGGTATAATCAAAAAAATCGTAATCACTGACCTAAACTTTTCTATTCTCCTGGAAATTTCTAATGCTTTATTTTGATGCACGCACGATGCACTTGCACAATAAAAAACCCGATAATATTGGAAGATAAAGTAGAAAATTCTCTACGATCGATTAAAATATGTGGTATTATCGGTAACAATACCGGTAAGGATCCGTAAAGCGATTAATAATTAGAAAACATCGAGGTTGAAATATTTATTTTGCTTATTGTTGCGCATTAAACGCGTTAATTAATTGGATTAACTTCTACCTACTTTCTTCTAGGTTTTTTTTATACTTTGAAAATGCACGCATTGCGATTGCGGTTGTTTAGTTGATGAATCGGCAGGTTTTTTTTACATTACAAAATTAATTCAATCGACATGGCTTGTTATTCGACCTGACAATACTTCACTAGCTTTTGCCATTTTGTAAATTTCTAATTTTGATGATAGGTAATTAGATTAATACGTTTGTTGTTATTATTATTATTAAGAGCAATTGGAGCGCTTTTAATAACCACTGAAAGATTGGGCGACTCTCTTGGATTTTCTCGCGTTAATTGAATGTTTTCTCCCAATTTTTATTCCATTAAGTACTCGACTTGTTACCAAAACTACTCAAACATTAAAGAATATATCAGTAGTATTGTAAATATTTAGCGAGAGATTGCTTCAATGGGTGACAGAAACAATTAACGATAAGTAAATCAGCAAATAGACTATACAATTGTTAATCAAGCTAAAATAGCTTCCCATCGAAGACAGATCTGGATAAAAATCGGCCGTTTGTTAATTGCGCCTTCTAATCAAAACGGCAGGTTACTTGTAATTTGCCAGATAAACATCCGATGAGACAATAAACTCGTTGTTTTCCGAGATTTTACCGCTTTTCGCACGAAAATCGATATAAATCAGCATACATTTAAGAATTGTGGGGATCTATTTTGCACTATTGCTTCGTTTCCTAGAGCATGATAAACAAGTGCTCTTAATCACTTTACAATTAACTGTGTTATTAATTATTTGGTATACCTACTCGTTGATTTGTACACTAGGAATTCGTCTTCGCTTTGTTTAACAACAACATACTTGTAGTATTTCGAAAACAAAATTAATTTCTTATTTATCAACTTAATGTGCGAATTATTTGAATACCCAAAGTACTGACTCTAGGGTGCAAAAATTCAAATAATATACGATACGTTATAAACCGTTAACTGAAAGTTCAATTACTGGTTTATATTTATACAAACGAGCTATAAATAATTCGATAACATTATTGTTTGGTTTTCTTAAAATGGAACTGTTATTAACAATGCCGTCGAAAGAATTTTTAAACGTTTCTTCGAAGCGGCTTATGACGCATTCCTAGCCGCAAACAAACTGCCATCGGTAATTAAATTAAAATAATCGCTCGTTAAAATACTCACCCCGTGCAACCCCATTCGAAATTTCGAATACTTCTTCATCACGACCCTCCAAATAACGTATGCCATTGCGGGTACGCACAAAACGTATATCCAAAACCAAGGAAAACCTCATCAGATCACACAGAGGAGAAATGAAAAAAAATATCAGCAATTGCACATTGCGACACCGACAACCAAACACCCAGTAGAGCAATATTGTTCACGTTCAATCAACGCATTGCGAAAGACCGAAACTAATTCCCGTGCACTTTTTTTCTGCATCGAAACGTTTTTTAGACTACAACACAACAACTTTGCGCCCGTTGTCACTTGTCCAATTTAATCACCGTTTTTAATTAATCGAGGTAGGCGAATTTCAGCATCTAAGTTGGCGCGCGCGGAACATCTGACTGTCCTCTACCATCACCCATTTTACCATCGAGAATCTACCGCACGTGCTTTTTCGTTGGATCGCGTTTACGTGCAACCGAACAGACCGAGATGCAAACATCGATAAAACCGCCGGGTGGAAGGCGATGGAAAATAAAAGTTACAAGGATGCCGCGATTATCGGGCTGCAAATTGAGCGATCGCCTTACCTGGGTAATTAAACGAAAGTAAAACTCGTTCGAATGGAAGAAATCACTCCGTGAATTTGTATTCTAATTATACAGGGTGTTTTGTTATGGAGCGGATGTTATGGGAGCCTAAAATATTGTGTACATAAATTATTTTAATGTGCAGTTAAATAATGGTGGCTCCTGGTACAAAACAGTTACCAGGGAGAAATATAATAGGGGTTGGTTGTTTCAATTCATTAATCATTTAATGTACTCCGTCTGTGGAGGTGTGTCAATTTTTGTACATTTTTAGCGGTGGTAACTGAGACTTTACCTTTGTTTATCACGTCATGTATCGGGGAAAGTATATTATTGTACAATATACAATCAGGAAACGTATTTTTAAAAGCTTTTTATAGTCACAGAGATTTGTTTAAACAATACTCACTTACCATTTTCTTACAAATTTTTAACTCAAAATTGGGACATGCTACATCGAATTTGTACACCATACGCTTAATATCGAATTAATAAATTGTAAATAAGAACTTCAATAAAACAAGTGAGTTCAATATCCTTCCGAATCGATAAAAAGGACGAGTTATAAACGAGAACTCTAAATAGGGTGTGTTAACAAAATAAAACGAATTTTTTAAATTAGTATTGCAGGAATTCACTCTGCATGTGTAATCGTTATTATGTTAAATATTCAAAATTTTTGCTATATTTTTCCCATCGTTAATATCAGCTGAATTATATTATCTAACGTTCCAGAGAAAGTAACAGTGAAAGAAAACGAAATCAAAATAAATAATAGAAAAAGCATTCGTATTGTTTCATTCATACGAAAATGCTCCATTGTTGTAAAATGTGCAGAGGTAAAAGTTAAATGACACGTGTGTTCGAACGGTACATAAGTTGATCAGATTTCTGGAAATATCGATTTAAATTTCTGTTTAATATTTTTATTCGATTTCAAGGATTGTCAATAAATTTGAAAGGCCAATAAATCGTCGAATCCTCTCGTGTAACACCAATTGCCTAATAAAAAAGAAAACAGTAAAATCGCGCCTTTGACACCTACACGACGATTTCGTTTGCTTTTTCAATGATTTCGACAATTATTAGCTTATCCTAGATTTTTACAGATAACGAGTTTTATTGGTTTCTGTACGGAAAGCCTAATTAGAGCCAAACTTTATTGTGTTACATTTTGTACTTCAATAAAGGTATATTTGTTAGTCATTATGAAATATTATAAGGAGCTAAAAATACTCGGATCGCTTTTAACTCAACCTCAAATATGCAGTTTTTATGAAACAAATACGAACACCAACGGGAAATGATCTGTTTGTTGAAGAATTTCAAGCAGTAGGAAATATTAAATTTCCCCTATACACTCACGCCCGCTCTCCTATTAAAGCATTTTTTACAAATAAACGCGAATTATCCGTTCGACGAGGAATTAATATTAAATAATTAACCTTTCGCAACGAACTAACAACCGAAGCAGAAAAAAACAAACTCGGGTAAGTATGTGTATGTGATATCGAGTTTCTGATGCCGCTCAATGCTCACTCAATACACCGAACACGATAATGCCCCCTTGCAACGATCGCTATCGAGATTTATCCATGACAAGCCGAGATAAAGATCTGCGAAATTAGTTCTATCCGGGATATAAGGTGGGTCAGGAGGCGCTACAGCTATTCGCCTAGCGCTTAAAAGGTAATAGGTAATAGGTAATAGGACAAGGTTGCAAGATTTACAATTAATAGGTTAGCGTGAAGTAATTGCGTTAAATATGTGCAGTGTGCTTTCTAATTTACTTTCAGTCGCTCATTAAGCGTAGAAATATTTTTTATAGACTTTTTTTCCGCTCGGAAAAAGTCCGTAGGACGAGTGGTTTTCGATTTCGGTTACAAAAATCGCATCACCTTGAGTACCCACATGCGTACTAAAAAATATGGGATAGGTGTTCCTGCGGCATTGTGTGCAAAATTATTCCAATGGTTTTAATGAAGTCATTTGAACGAATATCATTGAAATGCTTTCTTTCACCTCTGCACCGGCGGTTTTTTTTTCATCTTTTCGCCCACGCCCGGGGATTATCCTCGTTGTTAAGTAATTGTTCATCTTTTTAACCTCGTTTTTAATTCTATTATCTCACGTCACTGGTAAATGTATAATGAAATATCACAATCAATCGACTACATTTTTATTACAATTTTATTAAATTTGAATTAATTTTAGCTAGAGTTAATTGCGCATACAACCTTAGCTGCTACAGCTATACCTATCGATCTGTAGGTTAAAATAAAGCGGATCGAAAAGCGCACGTCACGGTGTTGTTGTAAAAGCCATTCCTTTTGTAGTTTGTGATATAATGAAATTCGAAGGTAGCGCAACCCTTACGAAATAATCGATATTATGCAGGAGTGTCTGTCTGCTCGGCTCGGCTCGATACGAAGAAAGGTCGAGGAATTCGATTGATACGGGGTGAGCGATATGGAAAACTGTATCGTGGCTTGGAAATCGAATTTTGAAAATTTTATTTCGGTGTACTTACCTCATAGGAATATTTATAAATACCGCTGATCTTCGAGAGAGCATCTAAGGCCTCGACTGTTGATTCGGAGCACTCGCCACAATACATTCGTTTTTCTCTATTTTTTATTATAATTTACACAATAGTAGCACTTTACGAGAGTTTATTATATTCATTCATGTCGGACGTGGAAAATGAAAACCGAAATATACACGGGTGACTCGAGAAACAGGTAGGAGAATTGGAAATGTACGATTGAAAATTGGCATGGAGTTTTGAAATAAAACAGGCTGTGGCGTAGGAAAAAATTTGCAGGAATGAAATTGTGAATTTCTGAATGTGGATTTTAATAATAAACCTAGAGAAAAATTACTGGTCTATTAATTATGTTAGTTTAAAAACTAAAAAAGGAAGAATTATTTTTGTTTATAAATTTAATGTTTCCTTGATTAATAAATTTTCGGTGCGCTCTCGTTGAGAGTACAAATCACAAGTTTAAAAATAGATTCAACTACACTGACGCGAATAAAAACTTTTATTCGTTTTTTTAATATTCCCGTGACGCAATTAACATTGAAATTTTGAAAATTTGTTCAATTTATAAAAAAATTTCCTCTTTGAATGAGGCACCTCGAATAGTTCCATTTTTGTACTTCGTCTCATTCAAACAGGTGGTTGAATTACTTAGAGTTAAGTAGGTATAATTTTTCTTAGTAAACCCCAAGATATAAGGCAATTCCTGCTGAAAAAAATCATGTTTCTATCTCCCCACAGCCAATTTTACGGGTTCTTAATAAACAATGTATAAATAAATCACTTTCAAAACCGACCGAGTGCTGCCCTCTCTGAACATACGCCGCATTTAAACGCACCCAAAACGACGAGTTTCTACCAGTCGTCCAAGAAAGTGGCGCTTCCAGCGTTCATTCGCAGGACTACAGCAGGAATGCACATTCGACTACTTATAATCCTGCGGTCCTGATATTTAGGAATCGCATGGGATAAGTATAGCATTCCGTCGATTCCGTCAACGCGTATACCAGTTTATAAACACGAATTTACTTGAAATATTTGAGCAAGCGAATAGCACAGGTTTCTTATAAATTATTCTTGATCGTTAATTGGACCATTTTGTTAATTTAAATATGCGTAAATTTGGTAAATAATAAGGCACAATTAAGGGAGGCATTCATTGAAAATATTTGGAACATTGAGGTATTGAGGCATTGAGACTTTAAACTAATGAGACATTGAGGTAATGAGACTTTGATGTATTGAAGTATTGAGACATTGAGGTGTTAATAAATTCGAGTATTGAGGGCACTTAAGGAAAATGTTGATGATTTTCTATTGCATGCACTAATAACGAGAAAGCTTCTTTTTAATGAGCATTTTACGTGCAAGAACTTTACATTAATCTGACTAAAAAACACGCCGGTGACGTTATTCATTCAAGTAAACATACACACACATTCACATACCCATATCTACAAGAGTTATTAATCTTGGTCGGTCCGTCCGTACCTAAATAATTATTATAAACCCATAAGCTGTCTTTTCCAATGATTTACAATGTGCTGATCTTTATTTTCGAATCCTGCCGGACAACGGCGTGGCCGATACTCGGCTGCACGGCGTCTTGAAATATTGCGGACTTTATTCGAAGACTTTATTCGAAGAGTGCGTAAAATATTTAGGAATCGATGGCGAAAAGAGCGCTGTATCTCGAGGTATTCCTGCATTTTTCTGCTTAGTTACGAATACGTATCGGGCTAATTAAATTTTAAACGAGCGAAGACATTCGGTTGGCGTTCGAATATTTCGAATGTCGTTAGGCATTCATGCGAGGAAAATGCCTTCGGATTTAATTCTCTCGTTTCTGCCGAAGAACACGCCATAAATTCGACCGAAACTCGGTAGCGTATTTTTAATATTGAATATTTCATCCGTCGAATTCCACGGAAGTCATACTGGACAGAACCGGACTCCACCCAACGCAACGTTTGAAAAAAAAATCCCTTATTAATACCAGTTTAGATGTGTCTACTCAACCTACCCCGGATTCTGTCGTGAGTATTCAACCGTACTCGATTTAATACAACGATATTAATGGGAATTTAATCCTGTCCTGCTGACTATATCGCTAACCGTTCGCAGGAGGTACACTGTTTGGTTAATGACATTATTATTGTCGAAGCGACACCGTTATATATTCGTCTTTGTACCAACGACATTGACTTATTGAGACAGATTATCGCGTTGATAAGAGGCAGGCTCAACATAATGATGCCGATCTCGGCATTATACCTACCTACGTGCATAAAAAGAATATATTCACGACCTTCTCGAAGAGGTATTATGTTTTCGTAGCCCTCGTGTGGGATATCATTGTACCAAACCCGCTTCCTGGTGTATTATATATATTATGTAGAACTTTTTGTTCGTCCCCCGTAGCTTACGAATGTAAATTACACGCTAG